AAAAGGTATATGACAAGCTGTAATGCATTTTTGCTTCAAAATAGGAAAATCACTAATAGAGACAGTTACAATGATTAATTAGACTCACGGAGGAAAGATAATGTAAATAAGAGACTTCTTTATACAGTGGACCTTCAGATATCCGGATGCCAGATATCCGGATGCTTCAGTATCCGGACGATTTTTCATCAGAACGAAATTTTAAAATTTTATTCTGTCTTGTTTAACTGGTGATTCAGATATCCAGATGCTTCAGATATCCGGACAAATTGACTGGGAACCAAAGCGTCCGGATAAATGAGGGTCCACTGTAGATGGTTTCAGCAATTTTGGGCAGGTGATGGGTCATCACTGGATGGATATGCTGATGAATCAGCAGAGGACAAAAAGTCCGAAAGATGGGAGGTTGGACGGAAATGTTCAATGGTGTCTGACTTTGTCAAAAAAGACAGACAGTTAGAGTGACATGTGAAATTTTAATTTTGTTTTATGCTACTGTTCAAAGAATTTTGACAGAAGGCTTAATTATGAGAAGAGTGAGTGTACAAAGGGTACCAAAAATTCTTAAAGAAAGTGAAATTTGTTAACATGTTCATAAGTCTCAAGTATTTTTTAATGAAACGAAGAGGAAACATTTAAATTAGTACATGTATGATGGTGCGTATCCATGAAATGACGTTATTCAGGTGTGGCGACTACCATAAACCACGCATTCTCAATTTATAGTCTCAATTCGCTTTAAATAATGTACCGCGTTTTAAGTAATATAATATTTTTAATAAATTTTATTTTCTGCCCGTCATATGAACCATTGTTGGTTGTTGATTAAAATGCAACAATTGTTTGTTGTAGTTTGAATGATTGTCTTAGGAGAAAATCTCATTTTATAGCAGAAATCGATATTTACGTTACTGTCGCCGATCATCGTGTAATTTTTATTTTAAACCAAAAAGAAGTTTTAAATCATTTACATATCTTTTTCTTAGTAAGATTGTCCTACATTTGAGTTATATTTTCTGAATATCACACCCTTCACACATATGCATGTCACAAATTTTTAAAAGTTTTAATATATTTATCAAATTTTGATGTCACCGCAGAATTATTACTTTTCTATTTGAAATTCAAAAGGACTGGAAGGATTGAAAAACTGACTCAATAGGACTAAGTTGTAACTTTTTAGCATCATGAACACCCTTTCTATTGCATGGAATGGTAAAAAGGACACTCTTTATCTGTATTTATGAACAATAGCCCCCCTTTTCTTATAAGTCCAATGGTTAAAAAATTCAACGATATTTACGTGTTAGTATTTATTCACAAATTAGGTAAGAGAACTACACTGTTCCCTTTGGGTCAAATTGCCTTACACTCAAACACTAGAATAGGCCTTTAATTAACAGTGGAATAATTGAACAATGGCATTAAAAGTTACGATAAATCTCAGAAAGATATTTACGTTACCCATATTTACGTTACCCATATTTACGTTACCATGTTTTAAAGTAAATAAGTATTAATTTCCAAAGCTGTTTGAACAGATTTGCGAGTGAATCTTTATGATGTAAATACTAAGAACATGAAGAAATATACACTGTTTCTTAAAATGTCATTTTTTCTGTAACAAGAGTGCAGAAATGCAAATTGAAGTGCACATGCAAAGGTGAACATTTTTCACTCAATATCTTGTGCATCCGTGTGATTTGAAAATTAAATTGACATAATATTCACAAGTAGAATTGTGGTTTAATGATTGAATCTTTCCATTTTGAGCAATTGGTTAAGATTGCATAGTTTCAAGTGTAATGTACGTTATCATTCGGAACGTAAATCTGATACATAACTTTCTTCAAGTCTGTATTTTGCTGTTTGTTTGAAATGATAGTGTATCGTCAACTTAAAAAAAATGGTTATATACACCTGAATTGTACGCCAAGCTTAACATTTTGAAGAAAAAAAAATCATTTTTGTAGGAAATATAATTCCAGAAAATAGGCGCTGTGTTGCATGCAGTGGGGGTGGTGTGGGGTGGGGGTTGGGGTTGGGGGTGTTCTACATCGGGTAAAAAAGAGGGTGTTGGGTGTCAAGAAACTGGTTGAAATTGAATTCATTTCCATTTTTGTTGCATTGCAAGAAATACAGTAAAACTCGGTTATAACGAAGTCCTAGGGACCTGTAAATTTACTTCGCTATATCCGTAATTAGTTATAACCGTATAACGAATTCGTAAAACCATATAAAACGAATTCGCAATATGCAGGTTTTCCTTCAGGTATTGCTACCAAATATGTTAGGGAAGCAAATATTACAAAACATACCTTCGATAACTAAGGTTTTATTGTGAATTGAATTATATATACAATTCCATGAACAAAAATAAGTCAGTTAAATTTATCAAATTGTGAGATCTTTGAAAGTTCGTTATAAAAGATGTAAATTTCATGATATTTAACTTCAACGAGACCCAAAATCAGTTCGCTATATCCGTAAATTCGTTATATCAGAGTTCGTTATAACCGTTAAATTTTACAAGGATTTGTTAAGAATTTTGCTGGAGACCCAGAAAAACTTCGCTATATCCGTGATTTCGCTATATCCGTGTTTGTACTAAACGAGTTTTACTGTACAAATATTAACATGTATAAATTGTGCACCTAATTTTCCCACTGGAATTGTTGCTTAGACATATAACGCATACGTCTATACTTTAATAACACCGTTTAAGGGTGGTGGGCGATCTTTGTATAATTTTTGAGATTTGACGATAAAGTTTTCACAAACAATTAAACATTTCAGACATGTAGCAACAGAGGGGGGGGGGGGGGGGGAGAGCAGCCCCCCCCCCCCCCCACTTTTTCTCCAACCTTACTTCAACTATAGTAAATGTTCAGTAAAAGGCTAATTGCCCCCCACCCCCACTAATAGTGATGTACGGAAAATGTGGTGTACATGTAATAACTGGTACTGAAAGTAGTTGGCATTGAAAAAAGTTTGCCTCCCCTCCCCCTCTAGGATTTTCGACTTTGTGCCCCCTTTTTTTTTGCCTTGTCAACTTTTCAGGTAAGTAAAAAAAAAAAAATTCTCTGGCTGCCCCCCACCACTTTAAAAAACGATGCTACGTGGCTGCCTTTGAAATAATCAACAGATTAAATGGTGGAAGGGGGGGTGGTTATGAATTACATGAGTCCTCTATAGATAAATCATAACTTGAATTTTCAATTCAACCCTTTGTAAAGAGCATATATATAGATAAGAAAATTCATAATATTCAATAATTCGAAATAATATAATCATTTTTTCCCCGAATATACTTTTATTTTTGTATGATATCTATGTGCGATATTTACGTGATATTTAACAAACACTTCATAAATAAGTAATGGCGAAATATTTAACCTTCTTATATTCTAAATAATGTGCATTTCTCTGAGCAGATTAATAAAGAATCAATTAATGTAGCATTTTAGGGAATATTGTCATTAATGAGCTTATTATCGGATTTGATAAAACTTGATAAAATAAAAAGAAAATAATTTCATTTAAATGAAAATTATATCCGTTTTATTTTTAATAATAATTGAATCAAAAATTCTACACCCCTTTTACAAATGTGCTTAAACGGTTTCATTAATGTTTATAGTTAACAAAATTTGATGTGTATTATATTGATTTTGTATTTTTTAAAAAAATCTTTCGTTTCCAAATATGGCTTTTCAACATCACGTAAATATCTTGGTGTAAAATTAGCCTTCCAACCGCTTTTATTTCGAAGGAGGCCAACAAAACACAGCATGAAGTATGTAAATCAAATTGCGATTTTTAATAACTATACACTTTCATGTTTCAAATGACGTATAAAAGTGTTAATTTCAGTTCACTAAATTTTTTGACTTTTCCCAAGATCGAATTGGTACTATAAATTGAGAATGCATGAAACACATGTTGTACATAATCAGATATTTTTGTAAGTATATAAATCATATTAAGAACTACAAATGATAGTATTGTTCTCCTGCCTACCTCCAAGTCAATTTTCAAAAGTTGACATGTTCGATAAATTTCTAATATTTTTCATAGATAATTATATGGTAAAACTTGTGTTTTTCACCATAGAAATCAACGGAAAATATGTTTAAAACTTCTTCCCCCACCCCACCCACCCCCCGTGTCACAAAAATTCCTTTTATATGTTTATATTGACAAAAAATGATAAAAATGCGTATTTTTCACCAATTTCAAATCGATTTACAACAGTGAACTGAAACATTACATTTTATTGACATATTTATGTTTTATTTATTTGCCTAAAACATAAAAAATATAAGGAACATTTATAATCATATCCAAGACTATTTCAAAATATGGTGATGATTGAAACTCTGATTTCAATGTAAAATATCGTCTACCCCCCTTTTTTCAAGAGCTGCAATTATGAGTAATTTACTGTTTAGCGCTGGTATTAAGACAATTCATCAATTACCATGAACTGTTCTTTGTAATAAACAAAGATTTTATGGCCAAATTGCTATTTATTGAATTAAATGGTTCCAAAATGTAGGTGGGAATCGAGAGCTAGCTTGCATAATTCTTTGTTCTGCTCCTGTTTTGTATTGTTTGATGGACTTTCGATCTTGAATACTGTTCGTTATCTACATACGTTTCGTTTGAATTTTTCAGGTCTGATTTGAAATAAATATAGCTTCCATCATTTATAATTTGTTGTTTTACATGACATTACTTCTGGATTAATCCTTGTTCAATATACTGCTTGATTTTATGGTGGACTGCCTCTTAATTTCAATGGAGAGGGGGTTTACAGCTCTGATAATTTTTGACTGCTAAATTAATGTTACAAATGTCTACAGGTTCATTAAAGAAAGCAAATTGATATTAGGTAAATAAATTATTTACTTAACTTATGTTAATTTAATTAATATTTTAATTTTCTCATGAAAAGCAGTTATTAAAATTGAAAAAAAAAATCATATTTTATATTGTAGGTTATTATAAAGATGAGGAATCAAGAAAGCTATGTAAGGAATGTGATGATGGCTTCTACACTACAAAAACAGGTTCCTTCCTTTGTAACCAGTGTCCACAAGGATACTATTGTCCTGTAAGTTACATGCACACTGGATTTGTTTTTTTGATAGAGGAAAGGGGATGTGGTCAAATCACCCAGACCCCCAAACACTGATGTTATTTTTTGTTCCAAAGACCCACCCTACCTATTGCCCTACACACACACACACCCTTACATACATGTGTGTATATGTGTATATATATATATATATATATATAAAGCACATTTTACAACAACTCTTAAACTAACATAACTGCCCTAAGTGAAGAAATATTAATATAGAAAGCAGAAAGAAATTCACTTTTTCATGGATACCCACTTCCGCCCCAGCCCGGGGTTGAACTCTCGACCTTCGGAATCTGTCTCCTAGCAGTGCAGGAACAGCGCGCTAGACCGCTCGGCTATCTAGGCAAGTCAAAAAACTTGCTTTCGATGCCGATGGAATTCTCGCGGCGCTGTCCTACACTACACGGTCATTGAGAATTAAAGTGGGATACAGTTATTTTGACATTAGTTTTAACAGAGGATTGTTACCAATACATGTTGTAATGAAATTAATTATTATTTATAAAGCACATTTTACAACAACTCTTAAACTAACATAATATATATTGTATAACTGTATATATATATATATATATATATATTTATATATATATAAAATCCAAATTCAAATGATAAACTCAAACTTTTATCTAAAGTGCCTTCGCCCCATGCGGGCTCATCAGTAGATTTGAAATTGAAATTTCAAATCTACTGATGAGCCCGCATGGGGTGAAAGTGCTTTAGATAAAAGTTTGAGTTTATCATTTGAATTTGGATTTTATTTTATCCCTATACCAAGGAAAAATAGTTTTTTGAATTTATATATATATATATATATATATATATATATAGAAAGCACCAAGAAATTTACTTGTATAATATACACTTATAAGAATACTATCCACCTCCCTTTCTATATATAAAAAAACACAACATAGGTGTGAGCCAGACAAGCTTTGCAGGCAGCCGGCTTTTGATAATTTTATTAAGATTCTTGTGTAATAAGACATATTCACAAATCCTTGTTATTTAAATAAACCATGATTTAAACAATTATACAAAATATCCCCATAATCGACAGGAAAAACTGCCCAGGAAAAACCATAGATAAAATATATGAAAAAAACTATGGAAACCTGTGTCCGAACGCAAGTGTTAAGTAATGTCTAGGGGTGAATATCAGACTTATTCATATAAAAGACGAAAAGAAAACAAAAATACATGAATATATTTTTGAATTTAAACAATCTCTTCTAAACAAATTAAGAAGAAAAAAAAAACAGTGCTCCATGCACTGAGAAAGACTGGCTTAGAATGACCGTAACTTTACGCAACTGACCCTTTATACTGGCCTTCCTATGGCCCACCTTGTATTACTACGCATAGCCATTCAAACACGTTGCTATCATACAACGTTTTCCCGCTATTCTCCGAAACGCGGGAAAACTCTAGTATAATATACACTTATAAGAATACTATCCATCCCCCTTTCTATATATAAACACAACAAAACATAGGTGTGAGCCAGACAAGCTTAAAAAAAAAAAAAATAGTGCTCCGTGCACTGAGAAAGACTGGCTTAGAATGACCTTAACTTTACGCAACTGACACTTTATACTGGCCTTCCTATGGCCTGCATTGTATTACTACGCATAGCCATTCAAACACGTTGCTATCATACAACATTTTCCCGCTATTCTCCGAAACGCGGGAAAACTCTATTACATGGATACCCACTTCCGCCCCAGCCCGGGGTTGAACTCTCAACCTTCGGAATCTGTCTCCTAGCAGTGCAGGAACAGCGCGCTAGACCCCTCAGCTATCTAGGCAAGTCAAAAAACTTGCTTTCGATGCCGATGGAATTCTCCCGGCGCTGCCCTACACTACACGGTCATTGAGAATAGAAGTAAGATACAGTTATTCTGACATTAGTTTTAACAGAGGATCGTTCCCAATACATGTTGTAATGAAATTAATTATTATTTATAAACCACATTTTACCACAACTCTTAAACTAACATAACTGCCCTAAGTGAAGAAATATTAATACAGAAAGCACCAAGAAATTCACTTTTACATGGATACCTATACTTCCGCCCCAGTCCGGGGTTGAACTCTCAACCTTCGGAATCTGTCTCCTAGCAGTGCAGGAACAGCACGCTAGACCGCTCGGCTATCTAGGCAAGTCAAAAAACTTGCTTTCGATGCGGATGGAATTCTCCCGGCGCTGCCCTGCACTACACGGTCATTGAGAATAGAAGTGAGATACAGTTATTTTGACATTAGTTTTAACAGAGGATTGTTACTAATACATGTTGTAATGAAATTAATTATTATTTATAAAGCACGTTTTACCACAACTCTTAAACTAACATAACTGCCCTAAGTGAAGAAATATTAATACAGAAAGCACCAAGAAATTCACTTTTACATGGATACCCACTTCCGCCCCAGCCCGGGGTTGAACTCTCAACCTTTGGAATCTGTCTCCTAGCAGTGCAGGAAGAGCGCGCTGAATATATGAAACTATTATTTTCATTAAATTAACGTTTCATTTTATACATATACAAATTTTAAACAAAAACAAAGCACAAATAGTTATATTTTTATGAGATACAAAAAAGACACACATTCATACCAGGAGCATAAAAAAGGAAAATCCTTGACTTTTACTCAATGTCAAAAGCTTAAAGCAAAGAATTTTTCTCGACACAGTCACCGTAAAATTCACTCAATACATTTCTTATGTCGCTTTAAGCAGTCATCAAAAATGTGCACAAACTGTTCAGATATCAGTGAAATAATATTTAACACTTCTTGTCTCAGATCCTGAAAATCAACAAACCTTCGAGTAAAAAGACTATTTACGGAAATACGGCCAGGTCACATTACGAAATCCATTTTTACAGCACTGCAATCTCAGAATGATGGTTTTCCTTCTCGCATGTCATCCTGTAAACTGTTCCTTCCGTCCGAAAATTTCATATTCCACTAAAATACTTAAGAACGGCCTCCTTAACTATATTTTCCTGACTGTTTACAGCATTCATTGGTCTCAATTGGTCTTTTTCCGATGTCTTCACAGAATTTTATTACTGCTTTCTGCTCCACCTTTTCTGAAAACGTCCCTTTTTTGAACAACATCGATCCTGTCTTAATAGATTCTAACCTCAATTTCTCAGTCATTTCTAAACTCTGAACGTTCAAATTTTACAGGTTTGAAGTTATAACTTTTGTCAACCTCATAATGTAAAATTAATGCAAAGAGCCATAGCGCATTTGATAGTCACTTTCGCCTACTCTAGTAGTGATTTTTTAAATACATTGTTTAACCAAAATTTTGTCATACAATGTTAGTTTATACATGCCTTGAAGCAATTCAAATAAAAATAATATTTAAATATTAATAGTTCCCTCATATGACAGATATAAAAATCGTTCAGTTTATATGGAGAATATAGTAAATACTGAGGTACCTCCCTAAACAATGAGAAACTGTAGCTAAAGACCACCCTTAACCAGAGAAACAACTTTTGAAAAATTTTATTTGGATATGACTGCACTTTATTACATTTAAATAATTTTGGTTAACGATGGTCTTCATATTGAAAATGTTAAAAATATTTATTATATGATTGAATAATTTCCCTCTCTCTGATTGGCTGAGATCCAACTATGTTAGAAAAATACTACGTTGTATTGACCTGCACGTGACGTTCCAGGTCAATACAAGGATTTATTTCCTCTACATTGATCTAAAAATAGATTGGGAAATTCCAAATTGATACAAATTGTTTTGGAAAGCTATTTAAACGACTGTGATTTTTTTTTTCATGTGAAAAAAAACATAAGCGAATATATATTTTATGGTGAGGGTGGTAAGAGAGGATTTAGGGACCCCCCTCCAACACTTTAACTGAACAACGTTTTTTTCTTCTTTTTACTTTTTGGCAGTCAGTTTTCCCTGATAATACTCCTTCTTTTCAAAATCTATCCTATAAAAAGACTGACATTATATTATTTTTTCATAGCAACTAAAATTGATAAAAAAAACCATTTCAAATTGATATGACTGGTAAGGTTTATTCACATTTTAATTCTGTTTCTCTGTTGTATTTGGCTAGGACTTAATTAAATGCAAGTTAACAAGTAATGAGCTGTATCATTTTATCAGTAATCATATAATAAAACAATTATTGCTGTTTTTTTCGGTCAATACAATGATTTAGCCATCTTCGAAGTACAATATTCACCTCGCCCTTCGGGCTCGGTGAATATTGTACTCCTCAGATGGCTAAATCATTGTATTGACCTCAAAAACCAGCAATAATTGTATAGTATTTAATTTTCTTCTAAAATTATTTCAAGATTCAACAATCTGTCTTAATTTTATCCATTAAGCTATCATGACTTCATGCATACATGCCAACTTTTGAAAATTCCCATGGGGGATTTAGCGCGTTACGTCAATTTTCAAAGCTTTAAATTCGCGACATTTTGTCGTGAAATTAAATGATTATGAAATTATCTTTTTTTTTAATTGATATCACTTATCAATACAACTAAAGGATAAATTTAACACAAAAAATAATGTTTTTCTTTCCAAAATTTAAATATTTTTGCTAAAATAGGTGCCTCTCTCACTAAAGAAGGGGTATTCAGTTACATATGTAAGGAACATTTTTTTTTCTACCAGGACACATAATTTAGTAAAAAATTAAAAATTGTACAACTTTTAAATCATTTTTTTCAAAGGCAAAAAAATATACGAGGTTTTGATACTGTAAAATCCTGTTTCTGGAAACATTTTTGAGATTTTTTATTTATATTTCAATTAATTAAAAAATTCTAATAAGATATTAAATTTACAGAAATTTGTAACACCTATCCAAAAGAGATTTTTGTTACAGTCATGAAATTTTTCAGGCTTGATGGTGCCATGTGGGTATTTCCTTAAAGAAGGGAGGGAAAAGAAATTCTAATTGACATACACTTGATTGTTTCATCTTAATTTTTTTCAGTAATTAATTGACAAACTTTACAATGTTTTTCATCATAGGTAGAGATAAAATCAGCAGCTATGCGTTGTAGTTTTCTACTTTCGTTTTCAAAAAACGATCTCTTTAGATTCTGAATTTATGGTTTGATTAGTATTTTATTGTCTTTAATTTATGTTTTTAATAAAATTACTGACTATTATCAGGTTTATCTATGCGTTTCTTATACCCCTTAAAACTTAATCCCCTAATTGCCCCAAGCTATAAGCTTCTTGTATGGACAACTGCACGTGCGTTCAAGCGTGAAGTGATTTCCTGTGGCTATAGTCTAATTAACACCTGGTTAAATAAACATTTTTCTGTGTGCATTGAATAAACAAGTCTGACATTGTTATCCCGATTGTCAAAATTCAGCGGTAGGGAAACTTTTAAAATCAGAAATTTTGGTGATTTTTTTTCAAATCGGGAAATGAGGCCAATTTTTCTTTCCCGATCGGGATGGTGGGATGAAAGGGTAAAATCGGGAGGATCCCGCCTAAATCGGGAAAGTTGGCATGTATGCTTCATGGCGTAGTGGTAATATTGCTGGATTGAAGACATAATGATCGTGAGTTCGAGTCTCACATGCAGTGCGTTTCTTATCTACGATTTTATTTTTTTTCTCTGTGCATTTTTCCTATGTTTTCTTTTATTATTTTTTATAATACATGTATAAATAATGTAAGATATATATAATACAACATTACACCTTGAAAGTATCTGGGGAAAAAACAGTCTTACACTATTTTAATGACCCCAAGTCATAGCTGCTAGCTTGTTTTATTTTTAAAATTTTCTAACAATCTTATTTAGAATAAGAGTATTGAACAAGTAAAATTATTGTCATGTAACCAACTTGCAACAATGAAAATATAATACTGGTCCACAAATGATTACATACATGTAATTTGATTTTGAATTGAAAAGATATATGTACCTGTATCTATTAATAGAAACAGGTGATTTCCATATAAATACTTGAGTAGGCCGAGTCGTCGGTAAAGCAGTTATGGCTCTTTCCACGGAATTATACAAAATAGGAATGAAATTTATAGAGTGATAAATTACATTTTAATTAAAATTTTGTGGTGCTCCGGGTCACCATCCCGAGCCTAATAAAGAAGCCATAATTGTAATGATATATTTTGAAATTAAATATAATTTTACATTTTGAAGTTCACATTTAGTAATTAAGGATTATAAATATGTTTAAAATTAATATCAATGACACCATTTTTATTTAAAATTTAGCTTGTCCAAGAACTTTACGGACAACCCTCATATGTGTGTGTTTTTTGTAGAAAGTGTGACAAAATGGTGTATTTGAGAGAAACTGGTGATAGTTTATATCAAAGACATGTTTTGAATTTGTCCTTGATTAGAAGGGAAACAAATGATCCTGTGGTTACTCATTTTAATTCAAGTTTACATACCGTAGATGATTAAAAAAATAATAGGCATTGAAAAACTGTATAACAACTTATACTTCCTATATTAGTATTTCATATAGTATGATAAAATTGGCGATAATACAAGTACAGTATTTGCTCTCGCAATATTTTCAGATGTATTGGCGCAATTTAATTGCATGATTGCATGACATTGCCACTCAATTTGTACTAGGGGTTATCAAAAAGTTCTTGGACTGATGCCGTAAAATTAGTAGTATTTAGTCTGTGCTTTTAAAATTTATAAGAAACATAAAACAACAAAAAATAAAGAAATATTACAAAATTTAGCTTGATACATTCATTGTTTGCCAAATTATCATAAAATAAAAAAGACGTATAATCACTCAGAGCTGAGTAAGGACTTAAACCCACCTTGTTTATACATGTAGATGACTATGAGACAGAGTGTATGCCTCCAAAACTTTTGACCTTGACCAAAGTAATACTTTTACATCAAAATAGAGTCCAGGCCACAGCTTCAGAACCCTTTAATATTAGGACTTCAAACTTGTAACAAGAAGATATTAAATACATGATGCAGTCCACCAGACTGACCTTGACCTTGACCTTGTTCTTCATCAAGGTCACAATAAAGAAAACTTAACTAGACCACAACTTGAGAACCCTTTGACATTAAGACTTCAAACTTAAAACATGGAGATGAAGTATAAGTGAAGGGTGAATGCCTACAATTTTCACCTTGACCTATTAATAAAGACAAGGTCAACCTTTTACATTAAAATATAGACAAATCATAATTTGAGTTCTTTCTTGACATCAGGATTTCAAACTTGGAACAAGTTAAGACAACATAACCCTGGTAAACCTACATGCACTACATCAAGATGTTTGACCTTGATCACTTTCTTTATTCAAGATCAAATGAAGAAAAAGAAAACCAGACCAGAACTTAAGATCCTGTTGATTTCAAGTCTTGAAAGATGCACTGCAATATTATGTTTGACATTGCTCGTAAAATTGCGGTAAAGAAGGGGAGGGGTGTTTTTTTTTCTTTTAAATCAATACCCACTAGTTATATTTGAACTTAATGTTGATTCATAGGTGCTGTGTGATTTTCAATTTGTTCCTTCTTGAATTCTGACGCATAATGACTGTAAATGTTAGTATTTTGTGCAATCAATTTTGGTGATAAGTTTTAAATAGCGTATGATAGGGTGTTCATATTTGACTTAATCAATATGCCATAAATCATGACAACTCACCCACAAAGACACAGAAAGTGGGGGACTGCAATTCTTTGAATTTGCTTGTTTAACTTTTATGCCCCCTTGGAAGAAGAGAGGCATATTGCTTTGCTGCTGTCTGTAGGTTGGTCTGTCTGTTGGTCTACTCCGTTTCCATTTATTTTCTTCACAATCGTTGCACAAAATGAAATGAAATTTGGTATACAGATTTATCAGTACCTAGGTCAAGTTCTGTTTTGGGTACAATTGTGCCATTTTGGACAGAGTTATGCCCCTTGGACTTTGAATACTTCCAATTATTTGCAATTTCTGTTCATTTTCTTTGCAGAGGTTGCATTTACTGAGATGAAATTTGGTTTACAGATTTATCAGATGAATATCTAGGTCAAGCTCCGTTTTGGATATGATGCACCATTTTTAACCTGGACATGGGAAAAATTCGAATTTGGGGGAGGGGGCATGAGTGTTTTACAAACATCTCTTATCTATTTTGGAACAACTTGAAGAGATTCATCAATTCCAAATATTAGTCAATATAATTTTTTTTTTACAGAAAACATTCCCAAATAAATTTATCTTAAGGAGAACTGAAATAAACATATTAATTTAAAGAAAATACCTGTCCATTGAAATATACTGCAAAAGAGGCCCTTTGGTCACATGCTTCCCTGTCTAGTTTCCCTCAATTTAATGCAGGTACCAATTTTAATACGTGTACTAGGTATTATATGTAGGAATAAAATTGTATATTCTTCGTGACTCGGGTAGAGATAAGAGTTTAGAGGCACACACTTATCTGCAGGTATTATAACTGTCTTATGACAGCATAGATAATAATTGTACTCTCTGATTGGCTGAAATGTCAATGCTTATTGGCTGTATATGCAATAATCTGATTTAATGATTCCAGGTGCATTACAATTCACTATGATTGTAGTTTCTTTTTCAGGTTAAGTAATTTATGTTGAGTAAGCATCCACAAGCTCAGAGTTGTGTATAGCATTCCATACAATGCATCATTTAAAGAGAATGATTTGATACTGCACCTTTTTGCTTATTTAATGCCACAATGCTGTACATTTTTAACAAATGTTTTAACAATGTAGATACCAAACTATACACAATGAAACAAGTCAAGGAATTTGTTATTATCATTCACAGTCAACATGGGAATCTCCCAAGGTCTGTCCCGAGTCAGCCATTTGTCCAGCAGGAAGCTCCTCCCCCGAGTCATGTGACATTCCATTTTTTTCTGCTGATGTTCAGACTCAAAAATGCAAGGCAACTGAGGAATTAATTGCTCTGATTATTGGAGTATCTGTTGGTAAGTGATCTTAAAATCAGAATTCTGGCCATGGAAATCATATCTGTTTATAAATGAACACTCAAAAATTGTATACATGTATCGTTTCTTTCTTTGCGTACCTTTCAAAAAAGAATTAAGTACGTTATCTATTATACGGAAGCCCACTATTTTTCGTAATTTAATATACAGGTTTGCCAAAATATAAAAACCATGAGCATGTACTAGAAGATTGGTAGTTTTAAAATATGCAAAGCAAAATTTCCTCACTCCGTTATTTAGACCTATACACCACGTTTAAAGCAGGGCTCGAGCTGTGATTCGCCATTGTCGCCAATTGCGAATTTTTTTCAGAAGTGGCGAAAAAAAATTCATAAGTGACGAAATTGAATTTTTTAGATGTACCATGTACAAAATTTGTGTAGTCCTGGTTAGCTCCTTTGTTTATTCAGTGTATACAGATAAGTTCCTCTGTTTATTTAATGCAGCAGAGGTGTGAAAACTGAAACCTACATGTAGGAAATCATGTCTTGCTTGAACGAACACAGCTGACTAGGTAACTAGCCTGGAGCAATAAATGGTTACAAAATTGCTTGAAATAATATAATTTGGATTAAACAAGGGGGGGGATAAAGTGTTATTAGGAGATGGAGTTTGTAAATAAAAGATTTTTATCAACAAAATCTGGATCTATGTAGATCGTTTTTTAAAACCGAAAGTAGGGAAACATGACGAAAATTGTAAGGAATGGCTTCAAATTTTATCTACTGAAAATTGAATAATTTGTACATTATACAATAAACAGAAAAAGAGTGAAAAAGAAATTGGATTAAAAACAGCATTATCAGATAGTAAATTACACTGAATTATGTACATTTACATGAGCTTGCATATTAAACCTGGAGTCTCCAAATTGATAAAATAAAGTTTTTAAAGCTATTTTTCATTACTTATTAAATTATTTCTTTTCACAATTAATTAATGAAATGAAAATTTCCATTTTTTAAAAATTTCATATTTTTTACTATAGCCCCCTCCCTCTTCCTAGGCGAAAAAAATATAATCAAGAGGACATTTTCTGTCAAGAGTTGCCTGATATCAATTCAATATCAAATTAATTGTACAATTCCAACATTATTTTTTTCCTTTTTTAAATGGATACTATTATAAGCTTTAAATGTTACAATTTTAAAACAAATGTCTGTGATAAATATAATTTTAACAAAATTGAATAACATAAAGTGCATTACATTGTCGAGAAATCAGATGTAAGTATGCCTTTTCTTTTGTCGCGAAAAGTGGCGAAAAATAATTTTGGTCCAGTGGGAGCCCTGGTTTAAAGATCCGTTTTTTCTGGAAATTGCTAGTTTTTCCACTATTTTCAACAGATATTTCTAAAATTGAAGTAGTGAACATCCCTCGAGCAAAATAAAACATGTATATTTCAAACATTTTGATGAAAGACGGATGAAAACTCGTATAAGATTTTGCTCGAGGAATGTGCAGTATGTTTATTTTGACTTTACATTACTATTTCCGGTGGCGGATTGAAAGTTCATTGAGAGGTGTAATTTTATTTATGTGAAATTATATGACCATAGTTCATTAAAAAAATGATAAATAAATATTCCATGCATCGGCAATATATTCATTTTTTTTACGTAAGTCTATTTGTCAAGAAAAATAGCATACAAACTGGAAAATATGAAAGGATAATAAGGCAGATGACGTTGGGCCCTGCGATGTGAAGACCTTACCTGCATCTGACAAATATTTCCAATAAGGAAAAAGAACCAATGAAAACGCTAAATTAAAAAAAAGTTCAATTGATTAATTGCATTAGCACAGAAGAAGAAAACGGGTTTGTATTTTATGCCAAAGGTATGATTTTATTTTAGAAACTGAGAGAGTTCATAGCTACCGTCAGAAGATGTATATAAATTACGTAATAACGCAAAGATGACGTCACAATAGATCCCGTTTGATTTTCTTATAATTTATTTTTTTTTATTCAAAACACTTAACCTTTTGCAAATTAATCTGTTCAAATTAATCAATATTCTGAGGCCATGTATTGCTGCATTCTCATATAAACGCACATGTATATACGGCACAAACTTACGGATAAATTTTACAAAATATCCTTCCCACACTCAGATGGTTAATATAAAAAACAATACTCTGAAAATGTTGATCAATATTTAATTTCACGCTCTATATTTGTTGCTTGCTGCTTATTGCGCCTCTAGATAAACATTTGAAAGCACCAATCTATAGTTTAAGAGATGTTTATATTCCACGATGAATTAACGAAAAAAAGCCTATACTTTACCTGGTATTATTTTAATTAAATAAAGATTGCTACATAAACTAAAAATGACTGTCATTGCAGCCCGGAGGACTGGGCTGCTCTATACATACAAGTTTAAGTGTTGGTATATGGGGATTGGGGTGGGAGTAGTTATTCAGAATTAAAGGTTTTCTGAACAATGAAAAGACTGTAATCAGAAAGTTCTTTCCCTTTATAAATTACGAGATACATAATATACGAGGGCTGTTCGGAAATTATTGAGACAATTACATTTACTCCATAAAGGACGGAGATAATTTCAGGAAAATTCATCAACATTTTATAAAGAACGAATAAAACACTTATGCAAAATTTCTAATTCCTATGATAATAAGAAAAGTTTCAGTGATAATAAACATGCATATGTCTATCGACCCGGAGCAGCATCAATACGTCGTTTTAACGTCACGTCAGCCAGGGATGTTTCGCATGTAAAACGATCGGAAAGCATTTAATCTTTTTCTTTCTTTGTTATTACATATAACAGTACAAAAATCAAACAGTCTCTTTTCTCAAACTATTCCTTAAAAATTTATGCTGTTGCTACCCGAGTGTAATATTTTCATTTGTGGGAAAAGATGACTTAAAATCATGCAGTGCCGATTTATGCAACGCGGGTCAACGATATTAATACCGTAACGATATTAATACCGTACGTAATAACTGATGGTCGTCCGGAGCTTTTTATTTTACTCTGTTTGAATTAATTGTAAGAAAAAAATGTATACCAATGAAATAACAAACCCTAACACATTATTTTTTTCTCGTAGTTATTATTTTAGCAGGTCATTATGTCTTGAAAAGAGTTCTACATTGCGCTACACAAAATTTGAGGTATGTTCACTGCTCCGCCCTTGACGTCAAAATCCATTTTTTCGTTTTTAGCAGATTTCTATACCGCGCTTAAAATGAATTTGAATTAAAGCTGAAAAATTATACACATAAACAGAATTATTTTCTATCTTATTATGGGTCCACGAAGAGTAAGAACGTTGGTGTTACATATTTTCAATATCTGATTTCGAGACTGCTCCGGGTACCCCTACTGATGACGCATTTATATGCCATTGTACAGAAAATATTTAATATTTGTAAAATATTTTTTGCTTTTATGAATTCTTAATGTATGTCAAACGTATATGCAAATTTTCACCGAAAGACGTTCATTAGGAAGCAAAATATACACAGTGTCTCAATAATTTCTGAACAGCCCTCGTATTTACTTCCATAAAGTAAATTGAGTGAATCTGTAAAAATATATATGGTTTTCATATTTAATATATAAAGTTGTTTATCAATTACTAATCGAAAAAATGACAGGTCCCTTTTTTTAGAACATCGAATTTTACTTCTCGCATATAAACGTACTCTGCACAGTTCTAAAATTGAAAATTAAATACATATTTGAATAAAGGTGATGCATGTGTCTAACTTCAATTAATATTTTTACAGACAAAGTTTACTCGAGGAATTGAATTTTAAAATGGTATCGTTTTTCTTTGACATTTATCCGACCATAAGTTTTCCAAATATTCGCGACTATCGTCTCCATCAATTAGACGCATGCCTTTTCACACACATCGAAGTGGTTTGATGATCAAGAGTCATTTCCATTGTTTACTTTATATATATTTCCCGGGCGACAATTGATGGTTACATCAATGTTTTCTTGTTAATTATCTGTCAGGGATCCTGAAACGTCAATAGACGATGGAGTTGGGAGCGACAAAGAAAAACGATACCATTTTAAAATTCATTATTCCTCGAGTAAACTTTGTCTGCATAAAATCAATTAATTGAAATATATGTATGGTTTTCATATTTAATATATAAAGTTGTTTATCATTTACTATCGAAAAAATGACAGGTCCCTTTTTTAGAAGTAAAATTCGATGTTCTAAAAAAAGGGACCTGTCATTTTTTCGATAGTAAATGATAAACAACTTTATATATTAAATATGAAAACCATATATATTTTTACAGATTCACTTTATGGAAGTAAATATATTATGTATCTCGTAATTTATAAAGGGAAAGAACATTCTGATTACAGTCTTTTCATTGTTCAGAAAACCTTTAATTCTGAATAACTACTCCCACCCCAATCCCCATATACCAACACTTAAACTTATATGTATAGAGCAGCCTGGTCCTCCGGGCTGCAATGACAGTCATTTTTAGTTTATGTAGCAATCTTTATTTAATTAAAATAATACCAGGTGAAGTATAGGCTTTTTTTCGTTAATTCATCGTGGAATATAAACATCTCTTAAACTATAGATTGGTGCTTTCAAATGTTTATCTAGAGGCGCAATAAGCAGCAAGCAACAAACATAGAGCGTGAAATTAAATATTGATCAACATTTTCAGAGTATTGTTTTTTATATTATCCATCTGAGTGTGGGAAGGATATTTTGTAAAATTTATCCTTAAGTTTGTGCCGTATATACATGTGCGTTTATATGAGAATGCAGCAATACATGGCCTCAGAATATTGATTAATTTGAACAGATTTTGCAAAGGGTTAAGTGTTTTGAATAAAAAAAAATAAATTATAAGAAAATCAAACGGGATCTATTGTGACGTCATCTTTGCGTTATTACGTAATTTATTTACATCTTCTGACGGTAGCTATGAACTCTCTCAGTTTCAAATAAAATCATACCTTTGGCATAAAATACAAACCCGTTTTCTTCTTCTGTGCTAATACGATTAATCAATTGAACTTTTTTTTAATTTAGCGTTTTCATTGGTTCTTTTTCCTTATTGGAAATATTTGTCAGATGCAGGTAAGGTCTTCACATCGCAGGGCCCAACGTCATCTGCCTTATTATCCTTTCATATTTTCCAGTTTGTATGCTATTTTTCTTGACAAATAGACTTACGTAAAAAAAATGAATATATTGCCGATGCATGGAATATTTATTTATTATTTTTTTTAATGAACTATGGTCATATAATTTCACATAAATAAAATTACACCTCTCAATGAACTTTCAATCCGCCACCGGAAATAGTAATGTAAAGTCAAAATAAACATACTGCACATTCCTCGAGCAAAATCTTGTACGAGTTTTCATCCGTGTTTCATCAAAATGTTTTGAAATATACATGTTTTATTTTGCTCAAGGGATGTTCACTACTTCAATTTTAGAAATATCTGTTGAAAATAGTGGAAAAACTAGCAATTTCCGGAAAAAACGGATCTTTTAACGTGGTGTATACGTCTAAATAACGGAGTGAGGAAATTTTGCTTTGCATATTTTAAAACTACCAATCTTCTAGTACATGCTCATGGTTTTTATATTTTGGCAAACTTGTATATTAAATTACGAAAAATAGTGGGCCTCCGTATAATAGATAACGTACTTAATTCTTTGACAGAATTAATTATCAGAACACCCCCACCCCCCAGCACATGATATTTTGGGGAATATATTGGAATCAGCATAAAAATAACTGTCTTTGGATTTGATTTTGTTCAGACCTGTTCTCAGAGACTTGCTTGGATTTGTCTGAAAATGTGTGCACTCATTCACCTTTTAGCTCAGGTGACCCATTGCTATCTGTTTTCGTAAGTCATCATGCAATGTGCGTTAACATTTGAACATTTTCAGCTTCTTCTCTAAAACCTCTCAACCATTTTCAACCAATTTTTAGCTCTACTGGTCAGAGACCAGAAGAGCTTATACAATAGTATAATGCATCCGTCATCTGTCCGTCTGTCTGTCTGTGAACAATTTTACAAAATGCTACTCCTCCTACTGTATTGGTTTAATTTCAATATAACTTGGCACACAAATAGACTACACTTAGATACATAATTCTGTATATCGGTTTTTGATTTCGATTAACGGTGTTGCTGTGGTTACCAAAAATAGAAATTTCTTTGAAATACTTTTAAAATGCTACTCCTCCAACAGTTTTGGTCTGATTTCAGTACAACTTGGCACACAAGTAGACTACAATAAGATACATAATTCTCTCTTTTTTTTTGATTTTGATGCACAATGTTGCAGTGGTTACTAAAAATACAAATTTCTGTGAAATACTTTTAAAAATGGTACTCCTCCAACAGTTTTGGTCTGATTTCAATATAACAATGGCACACAAGTAGACTACACTTAGATACATAATTCTTTTTATCGGTTTTTGATTTTGATGAACAGTGTTGCCATGGTTACTAAAAATAGAAATTGCTTTGAAATTCTTTTAAAATGCTATTCCTCGTACAGTTTTGGTCCGATTTCAATATAACTTAGCACACAAGTAGACTACACTAAGATATATAATTCTGTATATCAGTTTTTGATTTTGATGAACGATGTTGTTTTGGTTACTAGAAATAGAAATTTTTTTGAAATACTTTCAAAATGCTACTCAAAATACAGTTTTAGTCTGATTATGATATAATGTAGCTTGCAAGTAGACTACACTGAGATACATAATTATCAGTTTTGTGTTTTTGATTTTGATGATTTATGTTGCCATGGTAAGTAAAATTGAAAATTCTGTAAAGTTTTATTAAAACTACTAGAGTTGTAGTCTTATTGCAATCTTGCCACAATAAGAGACTGAATCAATGATCAGTATTCTATTTATTGCTTTTGTAAAGATTTAAGTCCCAAAATTTTCTTCTCAAAGAGAACAGGAGGTAGGGTTGGGCCTCAAACGGGGATTATGCCCACCCCCCAATGCCTACCCCTCAGAGTTCATGTGGGACACAGTGAAGAATCAAGGTTTTACACTGAAATATAAAGAGAAAACCTTCAAAAATCAAAAAATGAACTAATGGATCATGTAGAATACTTCCTTAGATAGAGTAGATTGTAAATTGTTATACCCCTCGCTTGAAAAGTGGGAGGATATACTGTAATCGGTATGTCCGTCCGTTCGTCTGTCAGTTCGTCTAGCTGTCTAGCTGTCCGTCTGTCTGTCTGTAAACTTTTCACATTTTTGACTTCTTCTCAAGAATCGCTGTGCCAATTTCAACCAAATTTGCCACAAAGCATCCTTGGGTAAAGGAGATTCAGTTTGTTCAAATGAAGGGCCACACCCTCATTCAAGGGGAGATAATTGGGAATTAATGAAAATTTGGTGGTATGTTTTAAAAATCTTCTTCTCAAGAACCACTGTGCCAAGAAAGATGAAACTTATGGGGAAACATCCTCAGGTAGTTTAGATTTAAATTTGTTCAAATCATGACCCCCGGGGGTAGGGCGGGGCCACAATGGCCGACCAAAGTTTTACATAGAAATATATAGAAAAATTCTTTAAAAATCTTCTTCTCAAGAATAACAAAGCCATAATTGATCATATTTATATGGAAGCATCCTCAGGAAGTGTACATTCAAGTTTGTTCAAATCATTACCCGGGGATAGGGCCGGGCCGGGTCACAATGGCCAACCAAAGTTTTACCTAGAAATATATAGGAAAATTCTTTAAAAATCTTCCTCTCAAGAATAGCAAAGCCATAATTGATCATACTTATATGGAAGCATCGTCAGGTAGTGTAGATTCAAGTTTGTTCAAATAATTTCCCGGGGGGTAGGGCGGGGTCACAATGGCCAACCAAAGTTTTACATAGAAATATATAGGAAAATTCTTTACAAATCATCTTCTCAAGAATAGCAGCGCAATGATTGGTCACTACTTTTGGATTTAAACTTTTCAATAATAAACCAATTTTTACTTTTTCCTAGCCAGAGTGCTCAGGTGAGCGACGTGGCCCATGGGCCTCTTGTTTAATATTGGCTGAAGTAGAACAGACTGCCCATATTGAATTGACTCTGGTGAACATTGTAGTCCATAGGCCTGTTATGAAGAATTTTGAGCACTTCATGTAGAAAGAATTAAATTAAAACTATTTCCTACCAAATTCAATATTTACTTTGTTTACCTTTATAAAATAATTTTATAAAAGTTGTGTTTTCTTTCAATCATTGTTGAAATGTTTAATTACTGTTTTCTTTACTTAAGAACTGGATATTTCATTGTTTCAGTGGCTTTTATTATTTTGGCTCTAATTGTGTACAAAGTTCACAAACAAAGAAAAGCAAGACAATTCCAAGAGGAAACACAACCTTTAACAACAGCACCGAAAAACCAGATATACATGGGATTATAGCAGTCAAAGACTGAGCAGAGAGTAAAATATCAGACACTTTTCCACAACCTTTAACAACAGCACCGAAAAACCAGATAAACATGGAATTATAGCAGTCAAAGACTGAGCAGAGAGTAAAAATCGTCAGACACTTTAACTCAACCATTAATAACATCACCAAAAAGACAGATATACATGGGATTATAGCAGTCAAAGACTGAGCAGAGAGTAAAAATCGTCAGACACTTTAACTCAACCTTTAATAACATCACCAAAAAGACAGATATACATGGGATTATAGCAATCAAAGACTAAGCAGAGAGTAAAAATCGTCAGACACTGTAACACATTAAAGGTAGAAGAGTTAAAATTATTAAATTAAGATATTTTTATATTGAAGTGTCCACTTTCATTCCTTTGAATGTCTGATTGAACAAAACAAAATCATTTTAGATTTGCAATTCATGATGATGTATCCCAGTGCTAATGCCTAGTAGAAGAACTTTTTGTGTTTCATTACACTGCTGTTGGATATACAGTTTTTTGTACAGATCTGTGCCAAAAGCAAAGATAATTTTATTTTTTCTTTACATATTTTATTGAAAACAACATTTTGTAAAATCACTGGCATATGGTCAATTTGTGTCCAATTTCATTATTTATTTTAAGTACTTAAACCAGAAAATATTTAGTTATCTTTTTTAAAAAGATCATAAGATATTTAGTTTTTAGTAAAAAGATAGTTCATCACTTAATATCAGTTCTAAAATTCAAGATTAATGTTGACTTTACAATTCATTGTATGTGACTTAAATTTTGATGTCACACTTAAATTAGAATATTTTCAAGATATCAATGCTGATTAGATTAAAACTGTTGTTCTTATCAACAACGACAATTTTTGAATTATCAAGAAATTTGTGGTAAAATCTGTCAAGATATGTTGTCATACCAGTGATTTATAAAATGTAGTTTTCAATGAAATATATAAGGAAACAGATGTGTTTGTGAAATACTGATGCCCGTGTATGGCAGCTAATGGCGAGGGTTTAATTCTCTAAAATGTATGTCAAACTTCAAAGGTCAAGGTCAAAAGTGTTGGTACCCAAAGGAAGGTCTTCTTACAATGGATACACCTGTAAAATATGAAAGCCCTAGTTCTAACTTCAAAAGTTATGATGAAGGTTAAGGTTTCTAAAAAGTTATTCAAACTCTTATGTCAAGGTCAAAAGGTCAGAAATGTTTATACCACCTGAGAAGTCTTGTTACAGTGAATATTCATGTGAAGGATGAAAGCCCTAGCTCCAAATGTTAAAAGTTATGTTGAAAGTTAAAGTGTAATATTTTTTGTAAAAGTAGGTCAAACTCCAAAGTCTAGGTCAGGAGGTCAAATTTGATGGTACCCAGAGAAAGGTGTTGTCTCTTTTGTTATTACAAAAGGGAACTATTCAGTAATATATTCTGAAGTAAATCTGCACAGAAAAAGGGCCCATTAAGTATTGCTGAAGTGCACTTGTCCTTTGAAAGCCATAGACCCACCCACTCAATTGTTATGGGCTAGGTTAAAGTTGACAGCAGACAGACAGAGAGACAAACAGACAGACAGAATTAAAACAATATACCCCCGGGATCTTTCATTCCAGAGGTATAAAAGAAGGTCAACTTCCAAGGTCAAAGTCAGGATCAAATTTGATGGAACCCAAAGAAAAGTCTTGTCACAAGGAATACACCTGTGAAATATGAAAGCCATAGTCTTACCCCTTCAATAGTTATGGGCTAGTTAAAAGTTGACAACAGACAGACAGAGGGACAAAAAGACAGACAGGACAAAAAAATAGACCCATGGGATCTTTTGATCCGTGAGCATAAAAAGAAAATAATCTTCACTTTTGGCACAGATCTGTTCATCAAATTCTTATTTATACAATCAAATATCATTATCTTGAACCTGATCCAGATGTATAAAAAGAGGATATCTATATAATGTGATTGTTATTGGCAAATATACACCATTTCAACCGGTTGGATAAATCCAATATCAAATCATGCAACTTTTGTTATAAACAAAACTTTGCAATATCTGCTGTGAAACTATATGAATGAGTTTTATCCAAATTGATGAAGCAGTATAACTTGATGATGTCACACTGTTGATGTTGATATGCCTTGAAAGAAAGTAGATTGTGTACAAAATTTAAAATCTTTGCTGTTTGCATTTTTGAACAATATGTGACAATTGCTGGAGCTTTATTTCAAACTAACTTTTGACATTCTTGCTCTTCATCACTCATTTTTTATGGGTAAGAAACTTTCAATAAATTAAATTCTTGAAGTAAGGGATTGTGTCAAAACCAGAAGTGCTATTGATAAAGCTGCAGTGATCTACCTGTAGATAAAGCAAAGGTTTATCTCATGGGTAGTTACATAATCCTCCACACATATGAGATAAAGGATAATATTCACTGATATTCAAGATAATGAAGTTCAACTGTATGCTTCCTGTAAGAGAAAATATTAAACAAAATTTTGTATGTCCTTTTTATGCCAATCTGAGGTTATATTGTTTTTGTGCTGTTTGTCTGTCTGTTGTCAACTTTAACCTACAGGATGTAGCCCATAACTATTGCGCTGTCAAGGGTAAGTGTTTACCTCTTCAGTCTATGTCCCACTTCAGAATTGTGTTACCATCGGGGGCATAGTATTTCACAATTAAACACATCTTGTTAAAATTTCTCATAAGGACACAAGCTTTTTGTAGTTGAACTAGATATTGAAAGAGTTATACATGATACTCTGTGGCCTCATTTCCTTTGATTTTGCTGTAGATCTGTGATGAATTGTTTTATGCAACTGTTGTCTGAATGAAAGAGTGACTATGTAATTGGATTTTGTTATTCAATGGCTCAAAAGGGCATTCATTTTTACATTATTTCAAATAATTTCATTTTCATTTCAATTTCATTTATCTAAGGTAGGATTCTTCTCATATTTCTTGTATTAAAAAGATCATGACATTTTGATTGAATCAAGAAGACAGTATCACTAAGTGTTGGTATCAGTTACATTAGATTTGACCATGTTATATTAGAATCAAGGTCAGGTCAAGGTCATTATCTTTTTTTACTGGACATTAAGATTTAAAAAAATGTGTTGCATGAAATATATGAAGATAACAAACGGTATTTAAAATCAAAAGTCCATAGAACAGTACAAAATAGGAGCAGAACAATCATGGACCTCCAGAACATCAGATGTGGGATCAGGTGCCATGGAGGAGTAAGCATCCCCTGTCAATCGGTCACACCTGCCATGTGCTCCAAGTGTCTTGATTTGGAAATAATGAAAAAATCTGTCGTCATTTCAGTGTATAAGTAATGAATTAACAATTAGGATGAAAAACGTCATGTGATGTCTACTTCTATTTCAAATATGAAATGATTTTCTGTCTGCATAAAAAGATAATACCAAAAAGGATCTATAACATGATATATACCAAATTGACATAAATAATTCAACTAAACTGGATATTTGTTAATCCGAATTTTCTCTGTTTTTCTTAAATTTTTAGGATATATTAGTTAATTTCATATATGCTTCCTATATTTAAAGTTTTCTTATTTTCACAATAATAATAAAGTAGTCATATAAAGATACAAAATGATACAAAAATGAAAAGATCTGATCATTAACGAAAAGAGAGAAAACACTTTTTACGGAGTACGTTTTGACTGAAATCTGTAATTAGATTACAAGCTTTTAAAAGCTATCATAATTGATATAATTTAAAACATTAGTCTCTTTTTATTAATTTAATTTCATTTGAAATTTTATTCAAGTCTTTGGTTTGTGAAAATTGTAACTAAATTCATAGTTCTTTTATAATTTTGAGAGCCGAAAAGATTAGATATTTTCATATGTCATCATTCTGCCAAAAATATAGTCCCTGCTAGATTTCAAACTCAGATAACCATTTCTATTTGAAGTTGTACAAATGTGATGAGGGAAGAAAAATATCTTTTTAATATCTTACATCTAAATATATAAGACATGAAAGCATGCAAATATACTTTGGATGTTTCATTTAATTAGTCAGAAATCAGACAAGAATCCTACCTTAACACTGGTGTTTAAATCTTAATGAGAGAAGTGGGTTGTACATATAGATATGCACATTCTTGAATAAAATTTTTTTCATTATAAAATCGGAAAATAATATTTACTTAAAGGTGTGAATAACACTTTTTGATGTACACAAGACTCTCCTCTCTATGTAAAGTGTGCTCCTAAGCAATTACATCAAAGTAAGAAGATTGTACATATGTGTATATCGTTAGCAATAAAATTTCAAAACGAATATGATATACTCTAGGAATACTCATGAATTATTGTATACTTACAACTTCTAAACTAAATATCATTAAAGGACAGAAAATAAAATGCTTTTTGAAAGAGATTTTTATGCCCCTGTTAGAAAAAGGAAGGGCATATTTGCTTTGCTGCTGTCTGTCTCAGTTGGTCGGTGTGTCAGAAATGACTTTTTTTATATACAGATTTATCATGTGAATATCTAAGTTCTGTTTTGGGTATGTAGGGCTATTATGGTATGCCACTTGGACTTAAAAAAAGTTCCAATTATTTGCAGTTTCCATTCATTGTCTTTTCAGGGATTGCACATATTGAAATGAAATTTAGTATACAGATGTGTCATAAGAATACATGTATCTAGGCCAATTTTGTTTTGTGTACGATCAAGCCATTTTTGACAGAGTTATGTCTTTGGACTTAAAAAAATTCCTGTTATTTGGGGGAGGGGGCATAAGTGTTTTACAAACATATCTTTTTTTTTTTTGCAATTTCAGACAAGAAAATCATTAATTATTAGTCATTTTAGCCAAAATGAGCTTTTATTTCCATCTCTCTGTCTCTTAATTTTCATATTTTTAGGTCACCAGAGTAAACTGAGGTGACCTATTGCTATCCGTTTTTGTCCGTCGTCGTACGTCGTGCACCGTGTGTTAACATTTGAACATTTTCAACTTCTTGTCTGCAACCGCTCAACCGATTTCAACCAATTTTAGCACAAAGCATTTG